GAAGTAACATGTCAAATATGAATTTCTGTTTGAGAGACATTTTATGTTCTATGCTTGCCTTCTTATTTAGTTGATTTACTCAGTTTTAAGGTAGAGAGTCATCCATGTAAACTCACTGTCAGGTTATATTGCTTTGTCCTGTCATAATCAAATCTTGCCCTTGATGCCACTAGTATGGTGCCATTACTGGGATCAACATTAAACTTGTCTGAAGGCCCAGCGGTCATCTCAAATGTTATTTCAGCATTCCGGCCACCATCTTGATCTATGGCCAGGACTTGGAGAACAGCAGTTCCTAGAAATGTTTCATATGTGCATTAAGAAATAATCCAGTGAAAAACAGTAAATGTTATTGAATAGAATCAATAATACTAATGTTATGGACTAGAATAACTAAAAATGCAATAAATTGTTAATTTACAACATCACTAAATCTTTACACTAAACCAACAGAAAGCTTGAACAAGTAAAATTCTAGAAAAATAATATGACTGTTAAATTAAAAAAAAAAAAAGCTCTTGCAAATGTAATATACCTGGTGGTGTAGTCTCATCAATTGAAGTTCTATATCTACTGTCTGGTCTAAACTCTGGGGCATGGTTGTTGATGTCCTGTAGAATAAATAATACATAACTATATTGCACTGTGTACACTGTGTATTACTATTACAGTAAGTATACTGGAAATTTGATAATAGGCATTTATATATGTGGCAAGTTTGCAATATTTTGAAAACTAGTATTAATACTTTCGTTGTTGTTAAAATATTTGTTAAAAGGGTGAACTTAATTGCGGGTAGTACAGTATTAGTAGGCTGTATTGTTCCTTTTCCACTCCCTTTGGTCCTACTTACTAGAACTGTGATTTCCACATTTGCAGAACTGATAAAAGGTCCATTTTTAGCCTGCACAACAAAGCTGTACCTAAGTAAAGGAAAGAACAATACAATGTCACTGTTAAAGAGTCAACTTGTTATTATTCTTTATAGTCAACATGTGAAAAAGGCTACTGAGCAAAGCCGGAGCTGCTCTATTCTTCTGATACATGACATTAGAAGGTGAATAAGCAGGTAAAAGAATGACCAATCGAAGGCAAATCCTATTTTGTTGTTTGACAGAGTTTCAGGTGATGATTGAGCTCAAGAAAGCCAATGTTTAATTGTGATCCAAGTCTTACTTTGTTCCTTCATCTCCACTTCTGGGGTCATATACCATGGGCCTTGTGCCTGTTATGTTACCAGTAACTCTGTCAATGGTGAATGGCAGTAAGTTGTCTGGGTTGACTAGACTGTACTCTACATGGTTGTTGCCATTCAATGAACTGTCTCTGTCTCCTGCCTGTGGCAATGAAAAGAAAATCATGTTTCGACCATTTTTAGACAAAAGTGGCATATCTCAAATTCGGGTTTTAAACTCAGATGAAACTGATCCATTTATCAAAGTTTACTGATTAACTACAACTTCATGTACTAAGCTATCATAAATGTCAAGATTATATGATCTGCTCTTTTCAAAAATGATCTGACAATCCAAAAAATTCATAATTATCATTTTAATCTCAAAAATATCAAATTTGCATCTATTGACTTTACCTGAATAACCAATGGAGGATCAGGGTTCCTCTTTCCTTCTTCAATACTTGTCTTCCATTTCTGTTGTGTAAAAACGGGAGGGTTGTCATTTTCATCTAAGACAGTGACACGCAGACGTGAATTATCTGTGCGTGCCGTTGGTCCAATTCCCAGTTCGTCTGAAGCTTGAATCACAAGGTCATAGCTCTTTTCCCTTATAGACTCATGGTCAATACAAGGGGCAACTCCTATTCTACCAGCACAGGGTGCTACCCGAATCAAGCCAGTAGAATTTTCTATGTAGAACCTAAAGTTGTAAAATTATTTAACATATCTATAATGGTTTCTTATCACTGATTTGTCAATTAAAAAATAAATTATAAATGCCCATACATTTTTTTAGAATTTCTTTTTAATACCTTTATTTTAACTACAAGTGAGTCAGAATAAAGATGTGTTTGGGAAAACAAACAATCAAATGGTTCTTGGTATTTTTCTTACAAGAACAGAGATTTTTAGTGATATAATACCTTTCACTGCCTACACCTTCTAGAGAATACCTCAGTCCTTGCTGACCAAATATACCACTATCAATATCCCTAGCCTAAAATATATAAAATCAAAAATATAACTCCATAACTTAATGATAGGATTTACAAGGAAAACAATCAGAAAAAACAGTTCTTTGCCAAAGATAGATCACCTCACTAATATTTAAACTAAATAATTTAAATGTATACAGCATCATAATTACAATATTACCAGAAACACAAAGGAAAGCAAAACATACTGTGACATCAATGACAATGTCATTAGGTGCAGCCAGCTCGGACAGCTCAGCAGTATAAGAGGTTCTGTCAAACACTGGGTCATTGTCATTGACATCTCTGACTGTCACATGTACTGTGGCAGTGGATGACTGTCTGGTCGTTGTATACAGCTCAGCAGCTAGTACCTAGAAAGACAAAACAAAAACATAACTCTTCCAGTCCCATTTCAACTTGACAGAACAGTGAAAAATCAATTATGAGGAGTATAAAATCAAAACAGATATATATTTAGAACAGATATAATACATGTATGAATTTTAATGGATACCAATTTCAAGTCAAATGACTACACACATAATGTGTGTAACTCTGGAACACAGCATGCAGACCTTGATTTTTTTAATTTGAAGGTGGATCCCCATTCCAACAAAAATGATTAAGTATGTAACATGCAAAAGTATGGTTTGGAATTACACAAAGAAAAAGTACATTAAATGTCCTGTTCAATGCAAATATATTTTCTTAAATTAACATAGTATATCAAATGCACATCAAATCTTTAATACCTCTTGATATGTATCTAAATTTAAACAGATTTAAAAAAAGTGTTTGCTGTGGTCAGTGTGCATGTAAGTGCATGAATGCATTTGTGCACATACAGGGTATGTCAATAAAGGACCATTCCACAGTATTTTTCCCACCTGTTTAATCTTAAACCTGCCTTTCTGTCACTTTTGTTCTTACCACTTTTATTTCAGGATATTGTAAATATTACATACATTAACACCTTCTCTATTTTTAAGTGTATCAAGAGATGTAAAAAAATAGCACAGGAAAGGATGTTGCAGGAGTGGAAATATAGTGGACTGAGCCTAAATGCATGAAATAATGTTAAAAGAGAGACAACAGTACTAAATAACTTACCTGAACAACTTCATTGTCATACACAACAACCTTGAAAAAATATAGGGGAAGAAAAAGGGAGGTGAGGAAGGGAAAAAGCAGTGCAATGATACTGTATATATATGAGGTAAGTGAACAAAATAAAGGAGTACTTTTAAGGGCAAAATGTAAATTAAATAAATTGCAAACAACAAATTGCAAGCAGAAAGACACTTACTAATCTGTTTATCAAAAAGCCACTCAGTTATCATTTTTACTAAAATTATAATATAATTTTATTATTTATCTAAGAAACAATTCGAATTTCATGGGAAGTGAAAAAAAAATTAATGTGAAGAACTGTTGTATTATAATTTTCACACCATCACACTAAAATTGCAAACTGAATGGAAAAATACTATTTTAGAATACAGATATTCATACATTCAACTCAAGTTACTAAAACTAAGTATCAATATTTAGGGTAGTGTATTTTTCACTGCAGGCACTCAAAACAATGTAGTGCTATAAAACTTAACTTTTAAAGAAATAAATCCTTTCTTACCCTGAGAGTATAATCTTTGATTCCACGATCGTAATCAATAAGGTCAGTATTCTTGATTCGTAGAAAGCTCCCAACTTGTCCACTCTGTCCCTCGGCAATGTTTGGATCAATACTGAAGGTGTCCGTATGGTCCAACAATGTCACTTTGAAGTGGGCATTGCTGCCCTGTAATTAAGACAATGGATAAGGCATTTTAAAAGTGCTAATCTAAGAATATAAGGAATAGTCTTCATGAAGAAGTGGTATTTTAACTACTTTTTTTGTAGAAAAAATGCATTTAATACCTTCTTATATACTTTCAGATTGCTTTCAAATTTTCTAACAAATGTTTTATATAAGTCGCATTTTGCTTGTTTTTTCATCTCATAATATGTTCTAGATCCATTTCTGGTGATAAAGTAAAAAAAAAAAAAAAACGCCACTTTTCAAATTTGAAGAAATAAATTATTTTTAACATATAAGCTCAGCTAACAGCACTTTTACGTCAGAACTTTACCTGATCAACATCGTTAACAGACATCACTAGGCCAGGGAGTGGGGAGTCATTAGGAATGTTCTCATCAATGTACACTGGATAATTGGCTTGAGAGAAAGTTGGTGCATTGTCATTGAGATCATTCACAGTAATGGTAATTTGGGTTGTAGCCGTGGTGAGAGGGTCATTTCCAAGGGTTCCATTTTCATACATCTCCTGGGCCTGAAATTATAAAAAAAAATGTTTCATTTATTTAATTTGCACATTTTAAAACAGAACAGAAAATATATTACATTAAGAACCAATATTTCTATTCATATATTGCACACATCCAAGATTCGCAGAGAGAAAAAAATCACCTTTGTTCATTTATTGGTAACACCAAATACCTAATATTTTCATTTATTAAGTTACACTGATGGTTTTGTAAATAACTTATTCACACACCACAATGTTCCCCAGATTACCTTGACAATTATAGTTAATGTGCCATCCTGAAAGGAAGGATCTCTGTCTCTGTCAAACACTGTCTTGGTCCTTATTTCACCAGAAACTGGGTCAATTCTCAAATAATAAGTTGAATCTGAAAAAGCACCAATAAATGATTTGTTAGATTACTTGACAAGTAAATAGTTAAACAGATTATAGAATTGCAGATAATGACTTGTATTCCATTTGGTCTGTAATTATAAGAGTCATACAAAAAACAAAGAAAAAAATGTGATGTTTGCTTGGTTATGACATAATCACATACAAGATATTTTTCATATCCAAACAGGTGCCCTTACTTCTGTCAGATAATTCTGGTACTATGGAATATCTTATCTCTCTTGGAATTCCACGATCTCCATCCTCAGCAAGTACAGTTTTGATCAGGTAGTTCTGAAAGAATAAACAGAGAGGCAATGTATACTGATGTGTAAAATTTGAATTACAATTCAAATGCACAGAAAAAGTTGAAATACAACTATCGGAAAAACTCCTTCAATTGCTCAAAATAAATCAGCCTTTGAGCAAGATTTGAATGCCCTACTGCCAAAGTATTCAATATAGTTTGCGCTTGCTATCACATCAAGTGACCTCCATAAATGGCTACTCTCTGTAATAATCTCTTGAGAGAATATTACAAAAAAAAACTTTTTAAAAAATCCATTTTTGGCCAAAATGAGCAGTTGTTATCCCTTTAATACTAAAGAAAAGAAAGGAAAATTACCACTGGCTGTTCCTCATCCATGACAGCAGTGGAGGTCCCAGTAAATATTGGAGGAGAATCCTGTACATCTTCCACTCTGACTATAATGGTCTGGATAAATGCATTTATACCATCCTGCACGAAAAAAAAAGACAAAATCTCATAAAAAATTGATCATTTATAAGTTAAATGCTTTTGAAGAGTATTTTTATTGGCTTTATTTCATTAATATATAAGGACTATAAGAACACTGACTTTACTTTTTAATTACAACTCACAGAAAGGAACTTTAAGGAACACAACTTACAAAAGCTTGCAGAGGTATCTGATATATAGACTTCACTTCAAAATCTAGCTTCTGTTGCAGAACCATGTGACCCTTCCATAGCAAGTTATTTCCATCATCTTTCACCAACCTAATCATCTGGCAAGCTTCAGCATTCTGATAAAAATTGCATAATATAAGTTGATAATAGCTCATGTGGTGGTAATAGTCATAATAATGCAGTCTATCCAGAAACTTCATTTTTTTTTTTTGCAGGATATAAGCAGAATATCAAAAATATTGTTAAGAATGTTAAACATAGAGATGCAATAAACCAAAATGTAATATCAGTGCAGAAATACTTAGTGGGTTGGTAGTAAAACAAGACTGACAAGAGGCTACTAGGTAACACTAGATTGCTACATCTGAGTAAAGAGGACTGTAGTTTAAAACTTTTTTTCGAATATTTTATAAGTTTTACCTTTCATTTAAAGGATCATGTTAGTCTAGTTTTTGAACTAGGCTCAATCTTAGTATTCTTTGATAACTGGAAGTAAAAATATACCAGACCCTTACCCTGTCAGCCATACATGTCACATCCACCCTCTGGTTCACTCCATCATTATCTGTTACTGTGATGTTTATGTTAGGCACCACAGACCCAACTGCAGCATCCTATGTTGCAAAATAAAGTTTAAATAATTGAAAAAATACTAGAAATGAAGATGATGATGATGAACAATAACAAAAGCTTGTTGTTCAATATTTAAAAAAATTTAAGTGACTATTTTAATTCTGATAGCATTTAAACGATGCCCTTCCAACCAAAAAAGGAACACTAAGGCCTTCCCCCATGTTAAAACTGCACACCTCATGTAGATAGCATGCTGTATCACAAATGTACACATATTCCATAGATGTACTAAATAATTCTTAAAGATCCCTAACCTCTATGTTCATGGTTGTATGACACCAGAATGAAATTAATATTATAATTATTATTTTAATTCAAGCTATATTTTACCTCTGGCACATCAGTTGCATATGTACTCTGTGAAAACCTTGGTGCTTCATCATTCACATCAATAATGTTAACCTTCATGCTCCTCTCAATCTATGAAAATGAAATGATGAAAACCAATAACAAATATTTAAAGAAAAAACATCCAAAAATGATAGAATGACTTCTCATATAAATCATAAATGTGGGCCCTCCCTTTAAAAAATAACTTAAAGCCAAAACTAGTAATAATAAGAAAAAAGTACTCAAACATATAAAATATATACAACAAAAAGATATAATTTGATTATCCCCAACCATCGTTTGTGTTTACCACTGATGTGAAGAAGCAGTATGCATTTAACAAACAAGCATAATTACTTATTCTTTGATGGTTTTGATTATTTGCATTTGGACAATACATAAACAGTAGTAAGAGGATTAATCAATACTTACTTCATTTTCACCATCGGTCACAACAACAGTAACTTCAACATCGTGATTAGACTGAAAAATATTTTTACACATCAGTTATTTCATGCAGCAGGCATAAAATCAATTCATATATAAACTTGACAAAAAACTCAGCACTATTAGAATATATTCCATTTTAAACTTTACCAAATTGTTACTAGTTTCTGTAAATTTCTCTCCTATATTTTATGTAAATAACATATTAATAACAAAAGTAACAAATAAAATTATTTAACAGGCAACCCCCTTTCGGCCACATCCCCCCCCCCTCCCCCATCTCAGTTGTCATCCTAATTCCAAACAACACATCAACATCAACAGGTCAGTGATGTGATTAAGGTTCTAAGGGAAAGGGTTCGAATGTGATGCCTCATAAGCAGAAAATGTTCTGTCTATAGAAACAATTTAATTTTAACATTACTTTTGGATCATATATACAAACCTCATAATCAATTGGCTGAATTAGGTATACATCTCCAATAGTTGCAGAGCCAATTAGAAAATGATCTGCTTTCATGCTATAATACAGCTGAGCATTTTGGTCATCAGTAGCTAGTAATGTGTAAACTAGGGAATCTAAAAAGAAACCAAATGCATAAATTGGTATTATGAAACATTAGAATATGAGAACCATGTGACAAAAGTTGTTAAATTGCAAATTTCATTATAAATAACACTTCAAAAAATATACCCTTATACTCTGTCCAAATCCAATAATCAATTTCTTAACAAATAATTTAAATGTTTTTATCCAAAAGAATTTGCATCAAGGCAATTTATTTATATGATTTAACATTACCCTCTTAAGAAACAGTTTTATGTAGAAAATACATTCAAATATTACTTTTTCAGACTCCAAAAAAAAAAAGTAAAATTACTTTTTCTGATAACTGCTACATCACATGCATGTTGAACACAGACTTACCATTGCACCTGCCTGCCCTGGCATCATCAGGAGAAGAACAAAACTGTCTGTCCTCTCTAAGTTCTAAGTCACTCATATCCCTCACCCATTCTGGGGCATGATTTATTTGAACCTGACCTGATTTTAAAATATAAAAAAACAGGTTTTATCAGTTTAATGTAGTTGTTGAAATTAAGCAATTTTTTGCTTCATTCATTATTTTTTCTTTTGCTGTATTGAATGATATTGTTCAAATGTTTTGTGTGAAAATAAACATGCTTATGACAGCAAATTGTAATTATATTTTTAAAATGTGCAAAAAATTTATACTGTAACAGTGATGCAGTAGTTATTGTGACAGCAGGAAAAAAAAAATATTCACATCAAGTTTCCTGAGGTTAAAGAGATAATGATCATTATCAGTAGAGGCTTAGTCATAAAAGAAGAAATCCAATCAAATCTGTATTTGGTTTATGGCCTGATATGACTGAATTATAAAAGTGTAAAAGACCCTGATGCCATAATATTACTGCAAATGTGTCCAGATAGTAAATTTGATTAACACGAGTTAAGACAATAAAAATAAATAAGATTATTCCCAAATGTTTCTTTAAAAAAACTTGCTTTGCTTTAAAATGTCATTTTAAAAAAATTACTAAATAAACAACTGCTAGAGTATATTTTGATGTTTTTAGACAATAGATATGTTTTAAACGGTTCATTACAAAACCTTGTTTTGCTTTTAAATGTCAAACATTTTAAGAAAACATAAACAATTACTGGAGTACATTATTTCCTTCTCACAAACTGAAAAAAAAATTACACTTCATTTGCAATTAAAATATTAAAGTTTTCATTTGTGTGAATTTAAGAACATTTGGTAAAAAAATGGGAATCAACATTTTTGTCTTGAAGAGGATCTAATTAATAGCTTTGCACTAACCATAACATATACAAAAGACAACGAAAGGAATAAAATATAAATCAAATGTAATACTGGTGGTTAGAAACATATATTGACTCATCTTAAAATTGCTTTACACCCTGCTTACACCCATAGTCCTCATTTTCATGCAGATCACATCTTAATCACCAGCTTGAATTTATGGCATTGCTTTCTGGGCAGGTTTGGCAATAAAGCTTGGGGAGTATAGGAAGAAGCATGCATGCTTCTAAAAAAAAAAGGGCCTTGAAGCCCTGAGATATAAACCGTTTGTATCAAAAACAAGTCAATCTAGTTATCCTTAGGCATATAAGGAAAATACACTCTAATTAAAAGAAGATACCTCAGTTTGCCTATCCTTGTCTATAGGCATGGGTGAATCATGTTAAGTGCTATGATATATGCATGCACCTGGGTGTAACTGAAGTCACACAAGGAAAGCTATTATTTTACCATGTCACATAAGCATTAACTCTGGCATGGCATTTTTTTACCATATCAGACTAAGACTCGTCTGAGGTGAAATGACAGCAATCTATTTCCCGGCCAGTTTTTTTGCAATTCCCCTTTGTGGTATAAATATTTGATTTCTTTTTTGTCAGCACTGATACAATGATTTAATTGTTCAGAAAACGTTTACATGTGAAACTGGGCATTTGTTATTCAAATTTCTATACATGCAAAAAATAAATATAATGGACAGAAAATAATACCTCTGATGAATAAACAATTCTCACCTTTTCTATATTAATTTGTGAAGGAGAGATGAAGGAAAAACTGTTTACTTACCATATATCACAGAAAGAGTTATCACAAATATATAAAAAGATTTCTTCATGTCCTTCATTAAGTATCAATGTTTCTGAAATGAAATAGAAACATCTAGATATATTGATATAAAGCATTTTTCTCCATTGTCATATGAAGCAAAGCTTGTTATAAAAAGCAGCACATAGAACGCTGCCAATCATTTTTTGCAAAATTAAAAAATGACACAGACAACCTGAAATACCTATCAACCTGCATACCACACAGAAATCTAAGGCATAGCCAGTCAAATTCAGCAAAATTCAGAAGGAAATGTTTTAAAATATATCCCTTTTTCCTTATCAAACTTTCAGTGGTCGCTGTTTTATTTTGGAACTTATCCTGGTCTTTTTGTATATCTTTTACTTCATCTCCTTTGCTTTTATCAAACTTTTAGAGGTTTGTTTTATTTATTTATTTTTAAACTCATTTTGGTCTTATTGTATATTCCTTATGTTATGTAAATTTTTATACTAATCCAATTTATGTACAACTTCAACCTTGTAGTTTTTATGTATTAATTAATAAACATTGTTTTTAATAATAAAAAAAAATCTTATCTTGGAATCAGAAAAGGATGTTTAGCCAAATGGCTTTATTTTTAATCTTTGTCAAATAAGTTCCTTTTGAGGCAGTCAAATTTTTTACCAATGATTTTTTTTCAAAAATGACCCATAATTACGGTCATTTACATGTAAATAAAAACTTTGTTTAGCCACTGGAAATCCTTGACATTATGTTTAAAAAATCCAAAAGTTTGCAGTTATGAATTTAAACAATGGCTATTTATTTATAAGAAAAGAAGATATTCTATGTTTAGACAATTATAACTTCAATAATTAAGATATGAAAACTTAATTTAGATTAAATACACAAATCTGACATGAAATATTTTTAAATGAAAAATTTTACCTGTACCGGGTTACACCTTTGGTATAAGTAATCCCTACAGCTGAACAAATCTACAAATTATTAAGATTCCACCTGCTGTTCATCAATTTTCGCCTTTGAATCTGAACAATGTTTTCTTAACACTCTACTCCACTTCTCCTTGAAAAAAGTGTATACGTCAAGTAAGAGAATTAAGGTGTGTTTTAATAACCACCATCAATCTAAGTCTTAGTCAAAATGCCTAAAGAAATGACCAAGACCATTTATTTTAACATGATGTTTTTTTTTTCTATAGCCATATAGCCAGAACATTAGATGAATGTTGTTATTTTTTATTTATTTATTTATTATTTGTCAGGCTAAATGTTCATAGGTCATTGGGTGTTGGTAGACATATATGAACAATTCTTATTCAGGATAGTAACTGGCAAATGACCTGGTTATACATGGGGGACAGCTGGTAATTAACCCTGGTCTCTATTCACATTTCTACCAACACCAAATGACCAGAGTACAAGGGTATATTTTTTTAAGTTTTATTTGTTATGCTCTTGGGATAAGTGTTTCAGCTGTTTCACTTAATTTTCCATCGCAAAGAATGTGATTTATATCTCTAAAATCAGTTACTTATACAATTACTTGGAACCAAAAACAATGTCATTGATAATATAATCTTAAAATACTTTGTCTTATAAGATTATTTTCAAAATACAATTAAAATGTAATGCAAGTACATCTACTGACACATTATATCTTGTCAGGAATGTCTTGTTTACTTCTAAACATCTATTGTAACTATGACATTTTTATGCATTAAGAGAGCATTAATGTTCTTAAAGAGAACTAAAGAAATATTAAAAATCTTAATAGAAAATCAAAAATAAAGAATTTATAAAAAACGAATTTATTTTTGAACTATCTGCATGCTTCCAAACTTGCAGGCTCTATTTCAAGTTTTCAAGTTATAGTTTTTATATACATCTATTACTCTATCTTCATGGCAAACAGAAAAACTTTGACATTGTACAGTTCATGTAAATGAGTTCAGAAGCTGACAGGACAACTAAAATGTGGGTTTAAAAAATCCAACATGACAAATAAATTCCTTGCAAGTTGCAAAAAAAAGTTCTACTCACCAATCCCATCCACCATTAATGCTCCCCTGTCTAGAATACCTGCACCTCTTAAAGGTGGGCATATTATGTTTGCAGGTTGACACATAATGAATAAGCTGAATGGAGTATTTATAGAAACTGTTGAACCGGTTCTCATGTGAAGATATATAGGTCAACTACGTTATCTAGGTCATCGTGCACAGCAAGACAAGCTACTGGGAGGTACATATATATTCAAAACAGAGTAACAATCCAATTCATCCAAACAACACATATGGGAATATTATATCAGAAGTTTGGCCGTGTCCAAAACATTATCTGATTATTTCATTTCGTAGCACTTCTAAAGTACCGTCTTGGTTAAATGCAAGATGTCTGCCTCCGTGCAAGTGTTATGTCCAAATGGTCGACGTCAAAATGTCAAAATTACTCCAAATTCGAAACTCTTACAGGTATGACAATATTAGTGCCATTGCATAGTTGAACGGGCGATTGACCTGATATATTAACATTAAACCTTGCCGCCAGGATACATGCTAATTAAGAGATAAATTCGTTTCACTGCGTCATCCACTATGCTAGCTTTTAATTTCCCATGACTTCAATGCGTCAGGAAGTCCGTTTTAAGGCAGCATGATTATTGAATGTAAATGATCGAATTTTGAACATAATAGAGTTAAGATATGACCGTGATGAAATGCCAATGTTATCGCCAACAGGGGCTGGTCCAGAAATATTTTCTGACAGTCTTCCAAATCATCTTTGTTGATCCATCCTCCATTTCTGACCGTCTTCCGACATAGTAAAATTAGATATCCGTCCGTGTAAATTTGAAAATCTGACCATCTTCCGGAAGACCCAGAAGACGCCCTAAATCCGCCCCTGGCCAAGGTCGTGCCCAAAGTCACGTAAAACTTGTTCAGTGATTAAAAAAACTTTTATCTTATATTTTATATTTGTTATCTGTAACAGGTGCTAGAAGAAGTATGCAAGAAACAAGGATTTTTGCCTCCAGAGGAGTATGAACTAAAGTAAGGGCATATGAGTATCACATACTACACTAATGTATCAAGCATCTTATTTGGTGTGATCAATCTGAACAAATCATTTTATTCTCAGCCCAAACATTTAGAGTAAACGTTTGTCTCATGCAACTGTTATTATTTTTCTTTTTGTCACACATATAGTCCCATATGTGTCAGTGAGTTTTCAAGCCAGCAATAGATTATGTATGCTGTCAATTGTTATACTTTCAATGTCATTGATGGTTCTTGTTAATAAGGAAATAAATAATGAAACCTAGTGAACGCCCTGTAACTATTTCATTTCATTTTACACAGGCATGGAAGAAACACACTAGATATAGGCCTCTCCTTCAGATATTCTAACCTCCCTAATAATGCAAAACTAGAGTTAGTAAAAGCAGCCAAGGCCAGAACTGAAACTACTGTGATTATTGCCCTACAACTTGAAACTGGAGAAAGGCTGCAGCATGAGTTTGATCCTGGTGTCACCCTTTGGGAATTATTGCAATACTGGGAGCAAAAACCAGAGTATGTACCTTAGTTCACTTTATTAAACATGCTTATATAAGTAATAACAAACTTAATTTGCTGATCAGAATTGTACTAGGTACATTAAGTGTTTACTTGGTATCTTTTGGTGATACATGTCATTTATAAATTTCACTTGTTTTTATAAACTTTTTGCATTTATTCTCTAGGGCCGAGCAGCAACAGCTAACCAGTATCAAAAAGGATGGTGATACAGAATTGCATCCAGTTTGTTTATATATGAGAGAAGATGTAAGTCTTCCTCCTCTCCACCTTCTCAATCTTTCTCTTTTTTTTTCTTATAAAAGGTAATTACTGTAAGCCTTAATGCATCATTAGCATGCCACTGTTTTAAAATGCCTTTTCCTATTAAGTAAATAAATATTCATTTTCATTTAGGTCATTGGAGAATTGGCCTTAAAAGCAACTTCATTGCGCAGTCTTGGTTTGACTGGTGGAAAAGCTATTATTAGGCAAGAAAACTTTTTTGTTTCTTTTTATGATGCTTTTAAAGAAGATAGGATACAGGGGTATCTTAAATGTTAATTTCTTTGTCAGTAGAAACTGATATCTAAAATATAAATGTTGATTGAATAATATTAGCATATGATTCAAAAGTGGTGTTCTGTAATATGTGCTCTGTTGGAGAATCTCTCAGCATGATGTTTCTGTGCCATTACTGAACAATTTGAATTTTTTTAATTATTTATTAGGTGCTTGCACAGGCCCATTGACAGTGCCACATTGGAACAGATACGACAAAGATTAGAAAAGGAGCAAGTAAAGCAGGCCAAATTAGATGCACTGAATTACCAACGACAAAAGTCTGAAGAAGCAGAATTACCAAAGAAGCAAAATGCAATTCCCACAAGCACAGGGTCTAGTGAAACGTCAATGGACACTCAGTCTGCCGAGTCAATTGCTATGGACACAGAGTCAAGTGAAAACAGTGCATTTCAGAGCAGAAAGAGAGAAACGGAAATCTCACCTCCAGGAACATCACATAAAGAGTCCAAACTTGAACAGGTTGTAGAGGCAATGGAGACTGACCAACAGCAGGCTCCCTCTAGTGATGTATCAACAGCTAGTACAGATAGTGTGGTTCTTAGTGGGGGTGTTCCCACTGGCATTCCTGGTGTGACCATGTTTAGACCTGGAGCTGGGGAGTTCTCAGCAGATCAGCAACAGGTACTCTCAGTAATACAGCCCTCATAAATGATATTTCCTATTTGTGATCTCTAGCCAGAATTAAGGATTAAAACGGCAATTTCATGATGCGAACATGAAAATAGTAGACAAGAGCATCGCATAAAAGAGTGCTAACACTCTTGCCACCTTTTATCCAGGGCTCTTGCTGTTTATGTGTGGGTTCTTTTTCTCAAACAACCTATTTTTGATATGGACGTAATGTGCTCTCAGCAATTTCATAGCACAATGCCAAATGGGTAGGTTAGTGGATTAACAGTGTGCAATTTGCATAATGGTGATTACAACCGCTAGTTCTTATGTTTATGAGATGGAATTGCAGTTGAATCGTTCATTTGGCTTCTTATCACATCCCCAAAGCTGATGAATGGCTATTTTGTTTATTTGTAGGGCCTGTAATAATTTAGATCTTAATTTATGTCACATGAACATAACCCAAAATGTAATAACTTCAAGAATTTGAAAACATTCAAAATTTTAATTTATGGTGAAAATGGTACACTCCCATCATAAACTACATTATCTATAATTATCATTCCAGTATATTATGGATGTTGCACAGTCTATTTTGGGTCAAATGACTGCTGGAAATGGGCCACAGCAACAACAGCCTTCACAAGGGAGAGGAGCCAGACCAAGACAAGTTCTCCAACCTACACCCAGTCCATTTGCTGACTTCAAGGTAGTATGTTTTATGTAAACTGTAGTATGTTTATTTAGCCCTGACTGAAGAGTCATATAAGCCCTGACTGAGAAGTCATCTGATTAATTTCATAAATTTTTTAAATGGTAAGAGTACGTAAGCTGAGAAAACAGTAGCAACTCTTAGTAATTAATGCATTTATTAACATCTACAAACAACTTTTTTAGAAAATGATTTAAAGTTTTTATATGATTTTTTACAGTTTCCTGAAGAAACGAAAGGAAAGGAACTATATAAAAATGAGCTTAGGTAAGAGTTGTCCTAAAAGTAAATGATAAATGTTAATAAATTCCATAATGTTAAGAATTGTTTATGTAACAGTGATGCCTGAATATATGTTTTGAGTGTAAGGAGAATTGATTCAGTCATCTCCCCTTATGTTTAATAAATAATTATAGTAAATATATTTATTTAAAATTTTGTGAATTGCAAGAATTTTAAATAGATAAGTGAACCAAGTTAGCATAACTGTACTGATTATTTCAGTGAGGTGTCCCGTGAAGATTTCAAGGTAAGCATGACAAATATGTGGATATTACAGGATCTTTGTTTAAATAAGTACAGGTTGAAAAGATGTTTACATAAAATATCCTAATGCTTTATTAAACTCAAACTTAAAGGGATAATAACTCTTCGCGTGAGGTCTATATTTCACAATAAAAACATTGTGAATAACTCATACGCCCCATTTCCATAGATTTTTAGATCGATCTATCCCTGTGGGGAGTCTCACTAGATTACTGTCAGCTTGGCCAGCTTAAGCGTCTGTCCCGCCTACTAAAAGCTGTAAGGGGGTAATTAACTATGGTGCCCGCTCGGCTGACTGCAATTTAGCGTGAACCCCCAGGGAGTTAGGTCGATCTAAAACTTAATCTTTAGATCAATCTAAATCTCTGGGAAAGCACCCATAGAAATATAATATATTCTGTTTTATGACAAAACAGCAGTTATAGCTATTATTCTGATATCTGAGCTTGTCTTCAGACCACGTGACCTCCATTGATGGCTATACCCTGTTATAATCTCTTAAGAGATTTTAACAAAAAACCAAACTTTTTAGAAAAAAAACAGGGACTAACTTTGAATGTAAAAATGGATTCATTAACCATTGGTAAGTATGGGAAAATTGTTGTTTATTCCAGGAAAATTCATTTCATGGCCAGAACGAAGAGTTATTATCCCTTTAAAGTTTGCGAATTCTTTAAGTGACTTAAGCATGCAGAAAAATATTTAGTTGTATCAGGATAAGGGACCCTGGAGTTTATTAATGTCATCAGTTTGATGCAATGCAATGCATTTGAATAACTGCTTTTAAAAAATACAGCTCATTATTGTTAATCTATTTCAGCCCTGTGATAGAGAGATAGTTGTCTATCGAGTTGATGAACCAGTATCAATATCTCCTGACCAAGGTACTAGTATGTTATATTGTCATTAAAGTGTAAAGCACCAAACTGCAGCGTGAACCATGATCATTTTTTTGCTCAGAGTTTAAGAAAGATCAAATTTCTAAAACAGTTAGTTTTTGTGTTGTAATTGAACTAGTATTGTTCTTATGGATTAGTTTTCTTGTACAAACAACTGCAAAAGCATATTGTTACCAGTAATGGGTGTATACTATTTATATATAAAAATTAACATTTTTTTACCTCAGAAGGTGACGTACCAGACAGCTTCTTTGAGGTGACAGAACATGATGTCAGAAGAATGATGAAAGATTTGCAGAAATCAGTGTGAGTTTATTGACTTGATGAAAAGAATTTATTTTATAATATACTGTTAAGTACAAAAGTTAACAGTACTTTTCCAATTTTTTTTACTGTCTACATTGTTATCATTCTAGGCTTAACCTGGTCTTATTTGTTTTAAATTGCCAGATATGCATTTTAAAAAGTAATTAGAAATGAATGAATCTGATTTTTTTATCTATTTCACTTGAAGAAAAATACTCAAACCAACCATGAAAATCTTACATGTGATAAACAGCCAATTTCTTTGTTAACTTAAATTTAGGAAAGACATGTCAGACCAGCCTTTGATGACTCAAAGTATGAGAAAGGCCGAGTTGGAAGAAAAATTCTCGAAATATGAAAGAGCTGTTGTTAGATTCCATTTTCCAGACAAGGTGGTCGTGCAAGCCTTGTTCAGACCACTGGAAACAGGTATGATATTCTGGTAATGTCATCACCTGGTGCTCAAAGGCACAAAATAGTGTAATTTTACTTTAATTATTATTTATGTAAACATTAAATTTGAAATGTGTTTGAATTCATTTTATTTATCTTTGGTAGAATTTTGTGTCATTTGGTTTTAAGTTAATGATCATAATGTAATTGTGTTGTTACTTTCAGTGTTTGCCTTGACAAAATTTGTGAAGGAGCATCTTGATGATAGGACCATGTCTTTCTACCTTTGTAAGTCAGATTTGCCCTATTTACATTTTTGGGATGTCATAGTGAGTAATTTTGAATAGAATTAAGCAGGCTTTTGGACAAGTATATTGAATTGTAAGAAGGGGGAATAGATAATAGTGAATGAAGGCACTTCTTACAACTTACAAACTTAATTGGGAAAATCTGTTCTGTTCATGGGGTGGTTCATCATTTTATATATATATTCATATCTCTGATGTTAATTTATCTGTGCAGTGTTCATCTTATTAAAATGCTTAGTATTTTATTTTCAACACATCAGCCTTTTGTTACTAAGAAAGACCTTTTATCCTCTTAAGAACTGACTTGGTCCAATAGATAAAACTAAAATGTTTGATTTAATAATAACTATTTTTTTTTTATTTTAGATACTACACCACCAAAGACAGTTTTGAAAGACCCCAGCAATAACCTAATTGAGGCACGTGAAGCAAAATAATTTAACTTCCAAATGTCATGTTTTACTCATCGACAATTTAAGTGGTAACTAGAAATTTATAGCTTCTACTTAGTATTTACAAAATATACATAGGTATGTAACAAATTTTCATTGAACTGAATGGTTATTTTTGATATTTTCAGGCTGGATTAGTACCAGCATCTGTTGTTTATGTTGGCACAGAAAGTCAAAAAGGTAATAAATCTATTCTAAATACTTTGAAAATTTGACCTGCATAGAAAAATACTTTTCTCTTATCCAAGGTCAAGCAAATTATGTGTAAATTTTAATGAATTTTCAGTCAACTAAATTAAGCAGTCAAGTCAAAAGACATTTAATATGAAATTAATTCATGCTTTTTCTTTTGTAGAGAAATATTTATCTGCACAAGTAATGTGCACCAAGTCCACTTTACTAGAAGCAGAAAAGACGGCAATGAACTGGTAAGTGTTTAGATAATCATCATTGGATTTTTATCAGGTCATAGCAAAGTATTGCTTCCAACCAGGTGAATAAAACCACTACTAGAAAGATACTTCGTACAATGTACATGTTCATACAGGTCTGCAAACTAGTGGGTACACCATTTTCTGTATCTGACGGTAAAAAGATCTGGTGAAGATCAATTAGGTAACTGTCTGTTTCATTTCGTTTTCGTAATGGAAATGAAAAATATTTTTAAAAGAAACAATTGCCACGACTTCAGTAAATGGTATAGAATGCATTGCATAACATGCACTGAACCATGCAATCTTTAATACTTACACTTACAACTGGAGTTCTTTTTTCTTTCAGGCATTACAAACACACCATGTCACAACCTGGAGTTTCTGGTGCCAGCACATCTGGTGCAAGTGGTGGTGCCACAGCTGGTACAAGTGCTAGTGGTATTGGGGCCAGCGGAAACACAAGATCTGCTGCTCCTACTGGAAGTGGAAATACAGGGGAAAAGAAAACACCCAAATGGTTGAAAATTGGTAAGATTGTTAATTTTCTTCATCCTTTAGCAATCATTGCATAAATCATCATTTTGAGGCAAAGTTTTAAAGTCTGCATTCCTTGTTAGTTTGGGAATACAATGTATCATAAACAGACATAAAAAACTTGAAGAAAAAACTTTTTGTCTTGAATTTTTGTATCTTAATTGATCAAATCTTTTTCTGTCACCTACAGGAAAAAGTTGAGTGGACAGAATTTTCTACATCATACAAGCCATGGTAGTTGTGACGAAAGTTGCGACAAGGAAATACAAAGCCGACGAATTTATGGACATTCAACACAGGAAATATTTTTGATAATACATCAAGTGCAACATTCGAAATAAAAAAGATGACTTTTTCTCTGGTCACATCACTGAAAGTTTTCTGACATTATGGATCTTCTTAAATTTATGAACTTCTGTCAGACTTCATTTGCAACACATGTTAAATTACACTGAATGAATGCTTGTGTTTAAAATATATTTAAGCAAGTGTATTAAAATATATTTAAGCAGCTGAATATTTTGTCACAATTTGTAAGAGATTTTTAGGATTGATCTAAACTACAAAGAGTTAATAAAAATTGAAAAGTCATTTTGTTTGTACAATGCAACATTGAATTCTGCTATTCCTGTAGATCAACTGCAATTATATGTTAATAAATATTTATTCATAAAATCAATCTTGTATGTAATACAAATGAGAAAATGCTCATACAATAAATTATACTCAAAATTGTCTTTTGCCATAAAACAGATACACTTAATATTCAATGTTTTTTGTTGTTTTTTTTTTTTACATGAAATGAGGTCTGTCTACATTCCTATTCATGCATAGTCTATGAAAAATTTAGTAAGTCCATGAGACCAGCCTCTGGACTTAAATATGTTAAGTCAGTTGAAGTGAATATAATCCTTTCCTTCTGTCAACTGAAGTGATGCCAAGTTTTCCTCGAGTTGTCCTCCTGTCATGTCCTGGATTGAAAAAAAAGCAAAATTTAAATAGAAAATATTTTCACAATGGAAGATGCCAGTGTTTGCATTTTGTTGTGACAATTTCTTCCCCCTCCCCTCCTCTACCCTCACTCTACAGGCTTAAGGCTCCTGAGAGAAAATGGACTGCACACAATTTGCAATTTCAAAGGAAACAAACATATCAATTGACATTTACAGAAATATAAATCAGTGACAACACATTTTTACAAAGCCATGTTGCACTTCTTACTATTATTATAAGAAGAAAAAAAAACATTTCCAGTATAAGAATATATGATAAGTTATCTTTTTTATCTTCCCATCCTACCTGCTTAACACATATAATAAAGGGTGGTTTTGCCCGAGTAAAATGAACTATTGGAATCTTTGGTTTTGGGATGCACTGAAAGTAAAGATAAATTAAATGTCAGCCCATTAAATGCCCATATAACATTACTTCAACAATATTAACATTTTGCTGGACAACATTACAGGATATTCTACCCAAAATTCACCCGACATACAGGTCCTCCACTACTCTCCCTGCCATTAGATTAAGCAAACGAAGCAAGTGGAGAGCAACGTTCTACTAATATAAACAGGGTGCCCAAAAGTAGGAATACTTATAATTTGACATGCAGCATAGCCCTTTTAAATCTAAATGAAACATTTGAATACATCTAATTATCTTTGCAATACCTTGGATTCTTCATAAGTGTAGACTCCTTTGTCAGTTTTCTTCTTATCAACATCACACAGCATTAGAACCTAGATGGTTAAGATACACAAAAATAAATAAATGGTAGTTCTTTCTACTTAAATCTAACAGTTGATGCAATGAGACTAACTAACAACAGTGGCCTTTTTTTTTCTTTAAAATGCAAACTTAAATATATTTACAAAAAACTATCTACACAAATGATTTACATCATTTAATGGTGGTCAATCCATTCTGCTTTAATTTGGACACTTGAAAGGAAGTTGTTTACCTTATTTTGGTTGTGTGGCTGTAAAGACCTGTAGAGTTTCCGGCCTTGTTTTCCTGCATTCCAGATAGTAAAGGCAGACCACTTAGATAATACTTGATCCTCCAAGGCAGACACTCTCAAGTTCCATATGGTCTCCCTGGAAAATAACAGAAACACATCTTCCTATTGCAGCTGCTCAGAGATAACTGTGTACAGGACCAAAAAAAAATGGAAAATTGTATTATCAAGACACAAAACGTTCAAGACTGGCTTATTGGTAAGGAAGCAATTAATTAATCTTAAATATCACACTTGAAAACTGAGACACAGGGATGAGATTTTTCAGACTATCAGCAAATTTCCAATTTTTTGAGAGCAAAAAATATCACTGGCTTAGGCAGTCCCCTGGACCCCATGCCATGTTTTTTGACTTTTTCACTAAATGACAGTCTCATCCCTGAGGACATACAATTACAAATCTTTAAAAAAAACCCTGATATTTCCAAGCTTACTCTAGCACTGAGAAAGTGGTAGCCTCTGGGTGATATCTGTACATCAGTAGACACTGGTCAACACGATACAGCCCAAGATTCATTTCAAGTAGGCGATAAAAGAAGATGAGGTCTTCTGGAGTACCCTTAATTAATCAGAAAAATACTCATACAGTATTTCAGCAAAGAGAATAACCAATCTACTATTGACTGTGCTTTAATAACTCAATCTATGCTTACTTCTCTATATCATAGAAACGGATGGTTCATTCTATTGGAGACACTTTCCAATTAGCATGGTAATCAAATCATTTCTTACTGAAAAAATCTACACATTAAGAGAAACTGGTATCAAATTCGTTAATGACCTTTCCTGCTTCACTGAACTCTCCGATCTCTTCAAACATTGCTCTTGAACAGAACCATGTGGGCATGATGACTGTGGGTCCATGGGAGGTATATGCCTAAGGAGATATAATCTAACATTGTTTTCAATTGTTAAGTAAGTTTTTTACAAAAAAAAACATTTATATGTAACCATCAAAATATATGACTGACATCTTTAATTAGATGTAAATATATACAGATTCCAATCCAACGTGCAGAAAGTAAGATATTAGAAGTGTGTACTTCTGTCAGTAACATTTATTTTCTTCTGAAAAAAGAAAAATTAAACAAAGAAAATCAGGTGAAATTTGTTAGGCAGTATACCTGGTGGAACAGCTGATCTTGAGAAAGAGAGTTGGCCCAATTTGTGTACCTTGAAGTGGAATTTGCTGGTTCTCTGTAAAATTGGCATCCAATTAACTGAATAAAAAAAAAGGAAGAAACATAAACATTACATACAAATATATTTTCAGATATAAAAGAAAATAGAACTCAGGTTCAAACAACATATGAACTGCTATCTATCAAATGTGTAATGCTTATTATTATGTGATCAACAAACGTGTACAATGACATTTTAAGCAACTTACAGATTTTGGATGAGCTAATGCTGCTTTGTATTGCTGCTGAACTCTATCCTTGAGCATTACATCATCCTACAATAAAGAAATCACTCAAATTATACCAAAACGTACATAATTATTCATGTTTGATTGTTCTGTAAGGGATGTCTCTAATGCATGTGTCAATATTCAAATCTAAGTAGTCTTAAATCAGCTGAAATTATGACTTAAAAATTGTGGTTTCTTAAATACTATCAATATTAATTCAATATAATATACATACTGCATCAAAGAAGCAAAGATATGTCCCTGCACTTTGTTTCACAGCGTGATTCTTGGCGGCTCCAACTAAAATTAACAACAACACACCTATCACAATGCAACAGATCACAACCAATTAGGCAGTCCAGGCCACATCTAACACAATCAAGTAAACTGCTCCCAGTCAAGGAACCCCTCCTTCAAAAGGTAAAGATCACACAGACTAGTGTGCCAAATATATGACCGATAAGATTTATATCTGTATGTACCCAGGGGCCTTGAAATCAGTAATTTTTATCTAAATAACCTGATAATCATTAAGTATATTAGCATGACTTGATATGGTCAGCTACTGTATCAAAACATTCATTCATGAGACTGATATATTAGCTAATAATTAATAATACAACCTCCTTTGGGTTGTGTTTCACTGTGTCCCCCAAGGATTACTTTGATGCCTTTGGCCTCCAGCCTGCTTCTCCATTGAGATAACACTTCATAACTCCTGTCCTGAAATGTTACCAATAACTTTAAGCTGACACTTTAATTAATTCTCAGTCTCACTAATCCAGATTTTATCATTTCATAAGAAGGCACCTGTTTTAACATACCTCTTTGGACCCCACAAAGATGATGGGCCTGGACTCATTCTAGTATATTTAAATTCAATAAATAAACAAATTAATAATGAGGAAATTGCAATGGGTCATTAACAATTTTTCTTTAGCTTGGAAAATATTTGAAAATTTTTGTATGCTAACATGGGTTTTGAGTGAAGACAACAATATACAAAGCTTTTTTAATATTTCAAAAAAAAATATCAGACACCATTTTGAAAAGAAAAAACATTAAGCCACTGACTGCTTTACAAGTAACTGTCACGCATAAACTTTTAATTAAACCTTCAGACCCAAACCTTTCAAATGCAAACTACAAATTATTCTACATACAGTGCTTCCATCATTAAAAACTGACAGCTCCAAGGTTCCTTCAAAGTTCTGGTCTATTATGGAATGCAGGGACTCATTTAACCACTTTTCTGCATTGTAAACTGGTAGTATAATGGACTGAAAGGAGAATGATTTTCAAATTACATATTTTCTTTCTAACTTAACTTAATTTTTGACTAAGAATAAGATTCAAATCGAAAGATTTTACTCACCAACAGTGACATGCACAATTCCAACTGTAAATAGTATCATATATATCTGTTTGGATTCTAAAAGGACATAGTTATGAATTGTTTGTATGTTTTTACAGGTTTGCCTTCAATGTTTGGCAATCTTGTCAATAAACATTCAAACATCACATGTAGAGTGGAATCACAATCTGATTGCAACTGATGAAACCACTATCAAACATTCCTTTGGAAACTTTGCTTGCCAAAGATCCCCATTAAACAAAGTAAACATACAAGTCTGGGCTTGAAACTGAAATGTTACTTGTGTGCTATATATCCTAACACCATGAGGAAGTTGCACTTTCCAAGGCTGAATTTACACAGATAAGTTATGGCTGTAACTTGTGCATGGAGGTGATGAGTGAATCTGGTAAGTTAAAAAGATCTTGATCTACATGTGCTTGTCTCTACTTGGAGGTTGCTGATGGCCTTTTGACAACCACGTTTCACCTTTGTTGTGTGGTTTATAAACAAAATTTGGTCCAGGTATTCTGGACTCTGTTCACACTGAACACTCAAATTTACCTAGGAAAAACATTTCTACGTTAAGCAGTGTTTAAATGGGGTGCACTGCACCAATACAGCTAATCGTATTAATCCTCTGTATATTTACGTTGAAAGGAGTGCCAGACCACTGGTAACCAGCACACACTAGTAATTAGGTATCGAACGAAATCAATGATTCAGTGTTCGGTTCCTTAATGACCGTATTAATCGAACTTAAAATATATTGTAAACGCGAGCAAATTTTGAACATACACATGTAGTGTACAATCACTGCAATAAATTCAATTAAGGTAACTGGTTCTAAGACTAAGACAGCGAAGTCATTTAAAAAATGGTTGCGTGCTTGCTCATATTTCTATGCCGTGTGCAGTGAAGATAAATGATCGGATGGATATTCATGTTCCCCGTGACACTATCTGCAGATCTTCACTAATTATCAACACGTACCACGTCCACCATGGGCACAAGTCTCAAAAGGATTTAGTGCTCGTGAAGAACCCACATGGGCGCAGCCATATTTAGGTCAACTAAAGTGTGGAACAGTCTAAAGTAAAAGGTCATCTGGGGGAGAAGGTAAACATACCGAGAACAATTAAATATCAATTAAGCATCAGTTGATTTCATGTTGTGTAATAAACAACAAATTCCTTGATATTTGATAGTATTTACCTCAAAGAAAGTTATAATATCATATTTTTGAAGAAGTATTTAACAAGCAACAGATTTGCCACAAGCCTACAACCCCTGCAAATACTCATAGACCAATCTCTATTTACAAGCATGCAAAAGTTTGGCGCGTGTTGCAGGTCCTTATCGCGATGCCTTACGGGTGAGCGGGCGTATTCATATGGTGATTAGTGGATGAATGCGCCGACCAGATTCTTTAACGACCCTGACGCAGGACAGGCTAGGGAATTACTTTGCGTGTATTTGGCAATATGGACGCACACGTATGACAGAATGGGAGTCACTGTCCAGGAACTGTGTTTTTTTCGCGTATTGTGACGCATGTTGTCAGTTTCACTACTATTTACATCGACCGAGCTGCTGTTGACGTGTATTTTACATTGTGTTCCAAAAAATATGTCTAACTTAACACATCCACTATGAAGGTTTACTGGTGTGTTGTAGACTTGGCCGTAGAGGCCGTACTACTGTTTCTTTTGACTTTGACTACCAAGTCGACGGGACAAGTTTCTCATAAAGGACTATGTGATCATACCATCACGTAAGTACTCGTTTTAAGGAAATGCATTGCCTACTGATTAAATTAAGTTTAATCAGGATTGAGAGTGCCTGTTGGTTAAAACATAAATCATTTTTCATTAAGAAGTAATTGTAACATGAAAATATGTATTCATGTTAAATCCAACAAATTTTAACTAAGTTTGAGGTAAAAAAAATGTAATGTAAGAAATATGTGTAAAATAGTGATATTAGGTAACAACCCATGCAGAACAGATTCTTCATAAAAAAAGGGATTACGAATACGTGTAAGTAAGTCAAAGAAAAGTTTTCCATATTTTTCATCAATTTTCTAACTGGATACATAAGCTAAATACTGTAATCATTGCGTGTACTGATGAAAATCCAGCTTAACCTCTCATTTCTAAGTACGGGTTTGAATAGCCATTGACTGAAAGTGAATGCTTCTTATGTAATTCACCTGATGAATACATCAACCCTGCCACTATGAATGCTAGTCTACTGTTCAAAATACTTGGTGCACACATAGTGAATACACACATACAAGGGAAATGTCATGTAAACTGTTCTGTTTTGGTTGTGATGCGTCCTCAAGACTAGACATGATGTAAGCAGTAATGATTTCCATTACCTGCCTTTGTGTACAATAACTGAGTTGTTCAAATGGCAGACACCTGTGTACAACAAACCACTTGTTGAGAAATATTGAGAATGTGGGATTGTGAAAGCCCTGCCCTGTCTATCACAGTTGGATGTGTTTTGTGGTTTCCTATCTTGAATATTGATTTTCCGTATTGCCTTTCTACTCCCCCTAAAATTGATCTTGTGTTAAGGAATGTCATTGAAGATGATATTTTAAGAAATAGAATAGCAAGGAAAATTGAGCCTAATGTAGGGTTTAGGTTGAACGCCATTACATTTAGCCAACAAAATGAGCCATCACTCTTTTTTTATGGGTTCAGGATTTAAAGGTCCAATGCTGAACAAATACGATCAAGTGGCCCTCATGTTTTCACCATGGTGTCCCCATTTACCTCTCTCTTCAGTGGGTTTAGTTGACATTCAATATATTTATCTTAGCCAGGTCTCCGGCAAATATTCGGTCCCATGGTATGTCATATCTGTTCTTATGAAAGGAGAAGGGCTGGTGATAAAGCAAAGATAGCATTAGGCTCATGTCACCTGTAAGGTGGCATGTCTGTACTTACAGATATACTATCACACCATTGGCTCCACTCTGTGGGCTTGATAACAAAATGTCTAGTGTTAATGTCTGGAATTAAGGTGCTAATTGAGATTTTTAGATCTAATTTTTTAATGGTTCGTTCAGCAGATTTAATGGATGGCCTATGGAGTTGTGCGAATTCCACTCTTAATCCAGTGGTGAATGACTATATCTGTTACCACAGAAAAAAGGGATAAAAACACCTGTAGAATAAGCACACAAAATGTTTCTTTATTTGCAGGTCAAGTCTGAGTTAAAATGCACCAAGTAATATTTATTCAGCAGTCTAAATAGTGCCAAACTTATTGATCGTTGGGATCAAGATGAAGTAAATGAGCACTTCATGGTTAAAACACACATGAGACAGTTTCTAGAAGTTTACCCAAACCCACTGACCAAATAACAACTTATAATGTTGTATGACTAGTGCCATAATTTGATAGGGAATAGAAATTACTTCTGAATATAGGCATTGCATAATTTCAGATTTATCAACTTAAGGTGTAGGCTTTGTTATTTCTCTGTGTAAAAGCATTCTGTGAAGTATTAATGTGCATTCTTGTACATGAATTGAACTTTAGGCTTAGGGAGACTCAGTGAGGTGCAAAATTGGAAGAAGTATCATTTGTATGGAAGGATAATGCAATCTGTATATATGTGTTAGTTTTCAAGGCCCAGAGGCCAGCTTAGGATTTACCAGCCTCTGTAAGAACCCCTCCTTGTTTTGTCAACCACATATTATTCCCCAAGAGTTGCCTACTGTGCACAAATTGTTTTTTCTACAGTGCATGCTTTAACAAAATGCATATTGATAGAATATATTATGATCAATGACAAATCTCTGAAATAAAAGTTTTGAGCTTTGTAGTTTTTTAACAAAATAAATTTTTGTCATATTTCCTTTACATGTAGGATTATGTACAGTTAGTGATTATACGCAGAAACATTGATGGGTGTATAATCATTACCTGAAGTAAGGCTTAGAGATAAACCCAGACATCAAGCACAGGTGCAATTAACACTGCATACAAAGACTTCAAAGATAACAAATTAAGCATCAGTGAGAATTCCATTAAGAAAACATGCAACAATGCTCAGTTTGTTCAGCTTGTGAACAATAATCAGCTTATTCCAGTGTCTTGTAAATTCAATGTCTGATGTTCTTTATTTGTAAGGAGCAGTAATTTTGTTTAAACAACTGATCAAACAAACAGCCTTACCTGGAAGCATGGCACCACTACCTTAGCTTTCTGTAAGAGGAACGTCCACAGTGGTAAAATAAACCCTTGATTTTATCCGCTGCATTTGACTCCAAGATTGGACATTTAATCTTTTTTCTTTGGATCAGCAGCATTTAAAGCATTTTGTTCATTTTCTGCCTAATAGTTTTTCCATTTAAATATCTCATTTCTTGTTGAAAGAATTTATTGTAGAATATAAGTCAGAATTCACATTTGGAATATTTTTTGGTGGAATATGAGACAAAAAGAAAATATTTGAAATAATTTTCAAAGTTAATTATATTTTTACATGCAATCGAATTGATTTATTTTATCTTTCTTATTGGGAATTTTATATGGTGAAAAATTAAGTTAATTCATCAGGTTTTAATAAAAAGGGCATATAGCAGCAGTGTCCATCAATTTCAAAAATGAATAATATTTTGTTTAGGAGTATGCTTCAGAGTTCCAATGAATGAACGTTGAATTTTCATTAGAATAAAGAGAAGAAAGTTTTAACTTATTGGAGATTTTGAACTTATGAAAATTAGAACTCCTTTGAGGGGTTGAACATCTGCACTTAAAAATTTCAATGCTAAAATCCCACACATGGAGCCAGTAGCACGGCAAAGACGGATCGTATCAAGTCTTACTTCCCATTAGCTTTGTCCCTACCACATATTGATCTCAAAGAGTTATTACATCAAGGATTTCAAATTGAAATCTCAAGTATGGTCTCTTCATCTGAAAGGGAACCTCTTCAATTATAAACTGAAAAGATGTGTCCAAAATACTGTAATGGCTTTGCAAGGCACGTTAGCTTTTGTCGTTAGAAGTGCAACTGGCGCTAAAGAAAAATCGTTGGCGTAATGCAAAGACATGAACTGATGTAGGTCTACATGACTTTGAAGAATTTTCAAGTATTGATCATTGAGAACATGTGGGCTCTCTTTTTGAGGCTTTAATAATTAAGTGAGAAAATACTTAAAAGAGTTCTTTGATTTTTCAAGCAGGGGATTCTTGGATTGAAGTGTCTAGCATTTTCTTTAACATGTTTCTGAAGTGTTAACTACAGACTGGGGGTAAGGAAAAAAAATGAGACAATCCAATGTAATCTTAGGTATTTTAGTTGTAGACTTGTCCCACTGAGAGAAAGGCTATTCTGACATGAAATGATTCCAAACAGAGTTTGAAAACACAAAAACATCGACAAACATTGCTGTAGAAACAGGTTTTAACCTTATCTCATTGGATCGTCTGCCAGGCTGTTACCAGCTTCTGTAAAATTTGAACAAGAGTATAACACCTGCAAGTGAGCAATACTTTGAAAGGTGTTTGGCATTAGAACTTTGACTGTAAAATTTGATAGAAATATATCACAATTGACTTCTATCTTGCTATCATTGTGTTTAGCTCAGTTATACACTTAAGACCATTTGTTGGAAATCAAACGCTTTGTATGGGAGATCTCACTTTTATGAGCGTATATAGAGACCCTAGTGATTTTTCAGTAAAGAGCATTTTGTGGTGCCATAAAACTAACAGAGCTATAGATTTTGGTTCACCCTCCTGTTTTTCCTTGGAGGTCCCATAACATTACAGCCTAGTTGAAGTAAGGAAAAGCTTTAGTCCTCTTTGAATTTTCTTTTAAAAGGTAGACGTTTACTTTTGAAAGTACTCTACACGCTCTGCAAAATAAACATGTGCTGTTTTTCTTTGCACCTGATTCATGCAGCAACAAATGCCTGATTAGAGATGGTTTTGTTCATTGTGTAGCAAACATCCAAAGAAAGTCCCTTTGTGAAATTTGCAAATATATTGCCAGGTAGACCAAATAATTCCAACTTATGATGAATTGGTAAACTACCGTACGCACACCCAAAGCTAATACGGCTTTCCGTGGCATGCCAGTACAAAATAAGCCATAAAACATGTTGTATTTACGAAAAAACATGTGGAGGGGTGGGGTTTAATAAAGATTCAATCAACTGAAAAGCTCATGTTACTCAGTATTACTGCAGTTGGCATTCCTACTGTAATTTTTTCCATGGTTGTTGCAAACCATGACATTATCTCCATCCTGTTGTTGTTGGCAAAATGTGATCAAAACAGCAAATAGAATCCATATTTTCTACATATTTTGCCATTCCTTTAAAAACCGCTTTGAAACAGAGAGTTGTTGAGTTTATTTGAAATATCCTAAGATTACAATATTTGGAGGTTGAGGGAAGGAGGGGCGTGTATCATCTGTAAACTGATATTAGCACTAATACATATGATTTTATTTTAGATTTTACTGTCAAATTTACCTTTATTTCAAATAATGATTGCCTTTACTTCTTTTTATTTTCAGTTCAGATTTAAGCTTATATCAACATGTGACTGATATCAGTGTAGACTGTGCTGAGGGACATATAGACTGGAGACAGCCATATGGGGCTCTAAGAATCACTATGACAGCCAGAAGGAAAAAGTCTCCAATGAGAGCATGCTTTTTGGCATCATCTATTCACAGCAGAGTCAAGTTTTCCCTTGAAGGACCAAAAGGCTTACAGTATATTACAATTCTCAATAACACACATTCTGACATTAAAAAAGAAATTTGTTTTGACTCATACGATTCAGTTGTTTTTTTCGTTGAAGTCGAACCTAACTCAAGGACTTCCATTGCGGGAAAGCTACACATAGAATATGATATCCAAAAATTATACAATAAACTTACAGTCGACTCTATGGAGGGTAAGTATTTTTCTTCTTGACATTTTCAAATCTAAAAATAATTATATAAGTATGATTTATTTGTTATTATGAATTTGAACTCATGATTTGCCTGGGGGGTTGAAGAGTCATGTAGGTATACCAGGACAATTATTAACATGACATTTATGTGTTGCGGTGTGTCCACCCCTTGTTGTGCAGCTATCGTTGTCACCTCGGTGAAATTTAACTTGTCAGTGGAATTTGACAGTGTTGGCATTCTCTTGGAAAACAAAAAGGCTTCCTACACCTCTTTCATGTTAGAGAACATGCACTGGGTGTTGCTTGTGGTTGTGGGAGGGGAAGACTGATTGCACATGTAGTTTTCTGCTACTTTTTGGTAGAAGCCTTTCGTCAAATTTATTTTAACTTCAACCACCTTTGGCACTGATTATATCTTGATTCTGAACAAACAGAACAGGTCAAAACTAGAGTGCTGTAAATAACAAGTAACAGTCTTGCTCAGCAAGATATCCGTTGGTAAGAAGAAGTGGGTAATACATGACGGCAACCTTTTCGTAGTGACACTAGTAGGAGTTTTTCCTTCAATCACCTGGTTGCTGGTCACTAAATTCGAGTCTCAGATTACCCATAAATCGCAAATGATTACAACTTTGTGGGTTTAAATACTGAATGCTAAACTTTTTTAAACCCCCATCAAAGATATATCAGACAGATAACCATTTCCTTTATTGCCATAGTCTCCCCAGCTACAGCTCACTGGAGCCACTAACTGTGAAATGAAAAATTTTTAGTCTGACTCCGTATATTTGGATTTCTATTTAATGGGGGTGACACTACCTTTACATTTTCTTAAATAAACTCATCTCTTGTCATCTGTGATGAATTTTCATTTGTTTTTTGAGTGATCATCTGTCAAGTTGCCCCAATATTCTTTGTTTTTACCTCAACCTATTGCTTGACTCCTCTCATTTGCCTGTTTCTCTCCAATCTGGGCCAATTGGTTATGTGTTGTTCTATTGTAATGTATGAAAAACTACTTGTCAGTGCATGCTGAAAAAGTTGCATGACAATTTAGAATTTGGGATATAATCTGGTAGCGGATGGTACTGTTGAACAGTTGATCTAAAAACATGAGGCGGAAAATTGCTCAGGTGTTCTAAAGCAACTGCATGTCAAATGGTTACATGCAGTCAAATGGTTACAGTGGTGACATTACTATAGTTTATCACAAAACATTCCTATTTCCTTTTCTTTATTTTTTCATTCTCTGCACTGACCTATGTTTTTAATAATCTTTTTGGAATATTAAATGCACCACTTGTTTGTATGTGGAATAAACAATTAAGAAGCCTGTCTCAAGTGACCTTTAATCGGGAGTGCATTTATAACTACTTAACAGTGATCTTCAGTGCATGTAATGGCCATTCCACATATAATTTATGTTTATCACACACCCTGTGCCTGCAAAGCAGAAAGAAAATGTATTTGGAAAGCTTTCCCTGATTTTTTTTTTTACTTTGAACAAGGAATTGTTCACCGCAAGCTGGGTTGGAAATCACCAAGTGTTACTACATCTTGTGGGCACAGTGTGTTCTGTTGAAATTCCTGGAGAACAGGCCACTTGTTTCCACATTCTTAGCATGTATTAAGTAGAGCCACTTGTTTCTCATAACCATTCAACAAATGTGTGAAGGACAGGTATGCAGGCTTTTAGTTGAAAAAAAAAATACTTCTTTCCTCGCACAATACTTGTTTGTTGCAGTCCTAGACCCATAGGTCACCCATCTGAAGTTTGATGGGCATACAGTAGATAAGCACGATAAATTAAGCTTGTTTGTTGATTTAAAATTTTGTTTGTCCATTCATTCCTTTTGGTGTAATACTGTGTTAAAAGTTTTTCAAGTTGTAGGTGTTCTAGAAATAGAATTCAAGTACATACAGATGGGTTGGACTGAAACATTATGACTTCCAGAATTAATGATACCTAAAGAATTTTGTTAAAGTTTCAAAAGAAACCATCAAATTCTTTGTTGGAGAGGGCTTTACTTTTGAATTGTATTTTTAGCTCAACATGGTAGAATTTAATGAAGGGCAGGTTTTCTTAAATTTTGATACACACCTAATAAGTTTTTTTCTGTTTATTCATCACATTTGCTTGATGAATGACTTAGTAATTATTGGGAGCTCAAATTTTCACCCTGGTTGAGAAGGGATTATAAATTAGGGGGTCTTTGATGAACACCTATGCCAAGGAACTTTGGGCTCGGGTTACAGAATATAGGGATTGTTGAGCTTATTACTTACAAATTTTGATCAAATTAGAACTGTTACAACCTGGGGGTCCCCCAATTATACCCAGATCACGGGGTTGAAGATAAAGTCTGACAAGGGTGACAACCTTCAGTGACTCTTAAAAATCTGAATGGGGATATGCTTGTCTGGGTTGCTCTGCTGTCATTAGAAAAGGTGAGAAAAATAGAAACGATGTTGGCCACCCTGAGAAGTAGACCCCATGCATGGTCCCCTTATTATCCTCCCTCATCTTCAGCATCACAACATTTTGTTCGACGCTTAATGAGGGCTCTAATGAGAGCTAGACGCTTTGTCCAGTCAAGGTTTAGATGATAAAAGACCAAAAGATAGCCTCATACCCACCAGCTTATGATTGTCAGACCTTGCTTATTTTTCATTAAAATAATAATGTGAAGAAATTTGGGATGCTTGCAACAAAGGTTCAGGGTCACTTCATTACTGATAAAAATATTTGAAAGATGAATGAATTGTGAGTTTTTCAAAGGACTTGCAAAAATTGGGTAACGCCCACTTTAATCTAATGCCTTAATGCAGATCCTGTGTGATTAGTTTCATCCTATCAATTCTGTTTTATTAAATTTCTTTTGGATAAAAGGTTTACGCCTGTTGGTTCTTGCATGTTTTACACCTTGGTGGAGATTGATGGAATATTCATACCATGGGCCAGTACAGAAATACCCTGTTATTCTACCACAATGGTGTGAGATGCAGCTTAGTGTCACAAAGCATTTATGTCTTAGAATAGTGGTAATACAAGGAGGATCAAACCATTTATTAGTGCCTAAGTGCATACATTTTGAGTTTGTGGCCTTCTTTCATACCTGTTACGTCGATCTCGATTGTAACCTGTTTGAAAGCCCTCCTAATTCAAATTAAAAGGTTATGGTAAAAAGTGACATAGTTGTTTTTGTTGTGTACAAAAGGATTTGATAAGATTTTGACATTGATTCCCTGCTGTTTACTATAATTGTAAAACCAACTGGCTATACATATATTAACTTTCCCTGAAGGTATGTCAAAAAAGAAATAAAATGTCTTGAAATTACTGAAGTGATAGCAATTTCACCAGCAGAAGGTTCAGAAGTCTTGCGGCTATGTTATTATGGGATATTATGGACAATGGCTTGCCTAGTTAAAGCAGGTGAAAAAGAGGCACCCACATAACTACTTTAGACTGTAGTTGTTATAGTTTCCACTTTATACTATTGTTATTTATTACTTTCTGATATCTTAATAAGCTGTACCCGTAGGAAAGTTTCTGGTTCAGTTGACATCTTACAAAGGATACTTTGCAAAGGTGGAATATTTTAATCTTCAGGTATGGTTTAAAGTCACTTTAAAGAATTATTCCACTTACCTTGGAGATTTCATTCCCTTATAAAACCTGAATAGATATGAACCTGAAAAGATACAATATTGACTGTTTTTCTCTTGCTATTAAACTTGTGTTATAAGATGCATCATATTTGTTTATGTTGGAAGATAGACCATTATGCTTGTGCTTCTTGTTCATTCACAAAATCCATCAAAACTGACAATGAGCACCTGACTTAAAAAAGACAACTTTGAGATAAGGTAATGGTTTAAGTCCTTGTCCAAGTCCAGAACTAGTGAAAAAGGGAACTAATTATGGGATCAGTTTTCATTGTCCACCTGTCTACCTTCAGTTATCTCTCAAGATTCTGTCTGTCCAATTTCCCTCTGAAACCTTGGAGATCAGCACCTATATTTTGCTATGGTCTAAGGAGAGTTGACTGGGGTGCAATACAATCTGGAGGCATTTCCAGAGTAAACATTCTAGGGTTTTAATCAGCCCCCAGGAGAGTTGAACAGATAACTAGCTTTTATTTTTGTCAACTGTTTTTTGTCAAGAGAAGACTACACAGATAACTTCACAATTTTGAATAGTGAAATGTTTTAGTTTTTTGTCTGCAGAAAAGATGACAGTTTACAATCAAATTTCACAACCTCAAGTACTTCTTTAAAACATTTCTGTTTTATTTCATCTCAACAAAAATTCAAAAGTGCCAAAACATTTTTGTTGTGCAAGTGAATTTGTCAGATTTATGGCTGAGGAAATTCTGTTTGATAGCCATGTCAGTAAAATCACCAGTTATCTTTTGTGGATCACAATTTTCAACTAGCTGTCTCCAGATTATGAATTCTCACAGTAAGTTTCCAAAGATGAAATGTACTGATTATGCCTCCTGATGTGCAAGAGTTGTTCTCTGTTTGAGTCAAAACCAGAGTAATCCACAGTGCACACCCTTGTACACATGTGGTTTTCAAGTATTAAATCTCTTTATACAAAAGTGCTTTTTGGAGCACCATTGATTATAGGCCTTCTCACTTTGATTGCAAAAACTAGGATGGATCAAACATATTGTTTAATAGAATGTGGCAATGGTTTTGAAGTGTTCAAGTCCTTTTCATGGCTGTGATATTGTCAAGACTACCTGATTATAGACCTTCTCATTTTGATTGCCAAAAAAAGTAGGATGCATCAAGCATATTGTTTAATGAAAGGTGGCAATGGTTCCAGTTTGGCGAGGAGTTTTTGCAAAGGGGAGGAATAGCTGTCATGTGTCCCTTACAAAGTTCCCTTGTTCAGAAACCAAGCTCCTGCAGAACTCACTGTCACATCAGTCCGTTTGGTACTTCATCAAACTGCTTGAAAATGGTGATTTGATGCAGGAGCCATTGTG